GGCAAGGGCTGGGGAGCAGGTTGATTGTTGCTGTTAAAATCATCACCCGGGGAAGAGTGTGGCACTCCTCCCACCACCCTGGGAAGCACCTGTTAGCAAACTTTTTATTTTAACTTAGCAATGTGCATTTCCAGTCCATTATTTTCCTCCAAGCTTTGGTTGTTTGTTAAAGTGTAATCTAGATCTTTCCCAAATCTGTATGAGATTTGGTTCTGATCCTTAATCTTGGATGGATTCCATTCAGAATCAGCTAGTGGAAAACAAGAGGACCGTCAGGGGGAAAGTAGGCAATCAGAAGGTTGACATTTCTAGTTCTTGTGAGAAAACGCAATCCATTTGAGACTAGTTGTATAAGGACAGGGCTAAGATGATTCAGGTTAAAGTTACTGGAAGAACTTTAAAATCCAGCGCTAGGGAGCGGTTACACCCTGAAAAGAGTTGAAGGCAATGAGCGACTACTCCAGCTTTGCAGGCCTGCTCAACGGGGCCCTGTCAGGAACTGCAGACGCAAGGAAGCCTGCAGCAAGCCTTTGGAGTCCGGTTTAATTAACTGCTTTATTTTTTGCAATTAGTTCAAAGTGCATTTAAGAAGTTTATGAATCTTTCTCAACATCTGGAAAGCTCGTGTTTAAAAAAACTTGGAAAATATGTCAGGGAAGTGAATGGCAATCATGCTCACGAAAAAGAGACTCACTTGGAGTAGCAGCAGAAAACGTTTTCTCTGGGCCCCGCGGCAGCCCCCCCCCCCCCCCCCCCGGGTCTAAAAGCATGGCTTCCTATAGAGCAGGAATCCAGGCTCCTGTCTGTGAGGGAGGGCGGCTGCTCGGCGCCGAATGGCGACGGGACAATGCGGGGACGTCGCGCCTCTACAGAACACGCACCCTCCAAGTGCGTCAGACGCCCACAGAACTGCTTTAAAATCCTTGCCATGGGACGAAAGACCGCAGAAAAGGGCACCTTTTTCTTCTGATGATCGTAACGACGAGGGTATATCAGAAAGTTGGAGTTATAACTACTTTTGGTGCACACAATTTTGTGTTTCCATAACAGGCCTTTTCCAGGAGTTCCTTGAACGCCCCTCGTAGGCCTAGATCTCAAACTTTCTGGCACCGAGATAAACCCATCCTTTAATTCTGTCTTCCACGAGCTTTCTCCTGGAGTGCCTTGCAGTAAGGTGGGGGAGATGGTTCTCCAGCCACACTGGGCCTGCTCAGCCCGGCTGCGCTGTTCTCGGAGAATCCGTTAGCGTGACTGCTGTCTCACAGGGTGCCAGGTCCCCATGGCCCTTCCGGGGGGGGGGGGTGTCAGATACCACCCAGACCTCTGGGGCTGCCCTTCCAAGCTCTTGTCCAGTCATCCCACGGACTCAGTGACCTCTTTTTTTCAACAGAAACACGAGACAATTAGGTAACTTTGCCCTGCTACCAAAGGGAGCAACCATAAAACGAAGCAGGTGAAAACCCACAGGTTTTAAAGGACCGTCTCTGGGGGAGAAACTAAGGGGGCTGGGTTGACATTGGGGTTCCAGGAGAGCCCTCAGAGCGTCCCAGACCACAGGTACCCGGGGGCGTCACTGTGGTGTCTCGGCTGTCCCCAGCTGTCCTTGTACCGCTGCCGCTCTCGGTAGCTCCGCAGGGCCAGCACCACGCTGGCACCGTACATGATGACCAGAAGACACGCGAAGGTGGCGGCTGCTCCATCGGTGCCCGCCAGCTGGCAGTTCATCCAGGTGAGACCCTTGCGGGCATACAGCCTCTCTCTCCTCTTGCAAGTGTCCGTGGAATTGATCTGCAAGGCCGCGTGGAGGTAGATGCCGATGCCCACGCAGTAGCCCACCGCCGCGAGCAGGCTGAAGGCAGCCTCCGAAAGCAGCCACTTCCCCGGCAGTTTCGTGAGACTCTTGGCTCCTCGGAGTAGAACGCCCATGGTGAGGACACCCAGCCCCAGAGAAACAGCCACGCCACCGTAGATCAGCGGAGCCCGGAGGACCGTGTACTGCTGGTCCAGCTGCCGCACCTGCTCCAGCTCCGTGCCCTCAAACGGTGAGTAATAGTTGTTCCCAAAGCCGCCACCGGTGGTAAAGCTGGCGCTGAATCCGGCCAGGACAAAGTAGGAGGCCACGATGCACATGAGGACCATCCCGTTCAGTATCACCTCCACTATGTGCACCACACCTACGAGAGAGGGGGCCGATTGAACGCTGACAGCACTCACCCAGGTCACCCCGAGCCGCCAGAACTCGGTCAGATGCCACAAGAACAGCCTTGATTTGTTTGGGTTTTTTGGCTGAGGTTTTGTGTCTAATGTACAAATCTGTGTGAAAAATCAAAATGCCACCCTGGAAAAAAATGTTGGCAGTTTCTTACAAAAACTAAGCCTGGGGGCCGGCGCTGCTGCACAGTGGGCTTTCCATACAGGAGCGCCGCTTTGAGCCGCGGCTGCTCCTCTTCCCATCCAGCTCCCTGCTGATGCGCCTGGGAAAGCAGTGGAGGATGGCCTGGTGCTTGGGCCCCTGCACCCCTGTGGGAGACCCGGAAGAGGCTCCTGGCTTCGGATGGGCCCAACTCTGGCCCTTGAGGCCATTTGGGGAGTGAACCAGCGGATAGATTTCTGTCTCTCTGTAACTCTTTCCAATAAGTAAATAAATCTTAAAAAACAATCTAAACATGGACTTACCATGTGACCCTACAGTGGTCTTCGTGGGTGTTTATCCTGAAGAAACAGAAACTCCTGGCCCCACAGAAACAGGCACTTGACTGCCCACGGGAGCTTTATTTGCAGTAGCCAAGTGCTAGAAATGACCGAGATGCTCTTCAGAGGGTGAAGGGTTACACTGGCACCCCACTCTGTGCAACCCTGACCCAGGCAGCAGTGGGGCTGGGTGCCCAGGGAACTGTGACCAGCGCAGCCAGCCCGCTCCCATTACGTATGGATCCTACCGGAGCGTCAGGACAGCATTAGCGACGGAGCAGCGCAGATGGCCCTGGGGCAGGGGTGGGCGTGCCGAGGGGCAGCACGTGGCTCTGACCGTGCCGCTGTGCTGACCCAGCCCTGCACACGTGGCCGCACGCCGAGCTGCCGGCCACTTCCTGCTTCCTCATTGTCCTGCACTTGCGCAAGATGCTGCCCCCGCAGAGCAGGCTAGGGACACCCAGGATCTCTGTGCCATTTTTTATGCCTTCTTGTGAATCTGTTTCAAAATCTAGATTTGTTTAAAAATCACAGTGACATAAGGATCATGAGAAGCCTCCCTCATGTCCCCGACCGCTTCACTAGTTTCCAGTAGGACTTTCTAGCGTTCCTCTGGGCAAGCAAGAGCACATTCAAACCTGCAGCTCATTCTCCCCTGCTCTGCTTTTTTCACAAAGGCCAGCATTCTGCTTCTTGATTTTTTCCATTTATTTATTTATTTGTTTTGATTTGAAAGGCAGAGAGAGACAGAGATCTTCCATCTGCTGGCTCACTCCCCAAATGCTCCAACAGCCAGGGCTGGGCCGGGCCACAGCCAGGCGCCAGGCGCCAGGAGCTCCATCCAGGTCTCCCACATGGGTGGCAGGGGCCCAAGCACTTGGGCCATCACCGGCTGTCTCCCAAGGTGTACATTAGCAGGAAGCAGGATTGAAGTAGAGAAGTCAGGACTTGAACTAGCACTGAAATATGGGACGCCAGTGTCCCAATCAGATACTTAACCACTGTCCAAACAGCAGGCTCCACCCCCCACCACTGCCTTATTTATTTTTATTTTGCTTGAAAGGCAGAGAGACAGGGAAGTTTTCTGATCAGCCCCTACATGGTCACATCTCTGTGCTGTGGCCTCCAGCCCCAGAGCGTGGATGGCCCTGCCTGCTCAACCAGGTTCCAGCACAGGGGCTTGGCGCTGTTCACCAGGGAGCTTTTTTGCCATTTAAGTGGACCCCTCTCCACTCCCCCCAAGCCAGGAGGCAGAGGGAGCCAAGACTGAGCGCGTGCCTGTGCAAAGCCAGCATTCATCTGTGACGGCCAGGGGCCCAGCCTCTTCTCAGGCACCCTTCTGGGAGGTGGGTGGTATCCTGTGTCCCCCAGGAGTTTGCAGGTGAGAGGCCAGAGGGAAGCTGCCTGGGGAGCACAGGTTCCGTGCCCCTCCGCTGCCCTGCAGGCTTGCCCACGCCCTTGCGCCTGTCTCAGCCTCAGGCTTGAGCTGCCCCGTGGAGGACACGCCTGCCACTCTCGCCCTGCCAGGCTCACAGGACGGCGAGGCCTCGAGAGGCTGAAAGCTCACCAAGGGCACACGGGTGGGCGGTGCCGCTTCTCTGTGGCGGTCGTCCACGTCCACGCAAGGGCTTCCTGAGAGCCTTAAGAAGACGTGGGACGCGAGCGTGAAAAGCACGTGTCCCAGAGCGAGGCCCACCCTCCAACACGAGGGGGTGCCGGCGCCGTTACCATCTCGGGGTGTCCCTAGAGCGCCGAGGCCGCAGGGCTGGGCCTGCCGCTCCTCTCTCCCGCCGGCCCACGCGAGTTCCCGGAGGCCCTGTGGGGACCACGGGACATGGCCGCCGGAGCTCGGCATGGAGAAGCCACCTTCCTCTTATTTAACACTGACAATAACATCAGACCGGCACTGCCCAGGCCACCCACTCCCTCCAGCAGAGCCAGGCGGTCAACCCAGAAGCCATTCAGTCACCCACCAGCCGCAGCGGCCAGGAAGTAACCAGTGAAGCAGCACGGCGGCCACGGGCTAGCATCCCAGGTTCCGCCAGGCCTGACCGGCGCCGCGCTCAGGCATCTCCAAGCAGGCGGTCAGTGCAGAAAGAGGCTCACACGGCGGAGTCGGAGTGGTGACTGGCAGCACTGGCTGCAGTTCCCCTGGACGGTGCACGGGGCCAGGCTGTGCAGAGACGGCAGGGGGCTCAGTGGGACGCACAGACACGGAAGTGGCACCTCTCTGGGTGAGCTCATTTAACACGAGACGCCTGCTGCTGCTTTTGCCCCGGATGTGTGCCCTGAACAAACCAAGACGAACACAGGGTTTCCTTTTGTTTTTTATTTTTTAAATACATGTGCAATCAAGCCATACATAAAGTGAAAATTTAAAAAAAAAAACCCTTCTCTTCAGGAGGATAACTGTTAAGACTTTCTTTTGTATTCTTCAAAAAATTCTATATATACTCCAAGAAGGACCTATGCCTCCTCTCAAAACCCAAATGGAACTCACATCCTAAAAGCAACACATTGTGAGCATTTAAGGGAATAAGAACTTATGGCGAAGAGAACCATCATCACTAAAGTTTTCCCGGATTCCTGTGAAGCACAGGACGTATGGGATATTTTGTCATGACGTCATGATTTACCGTGCAGGAAGAGCCCATGAGGCATCTGGCCAAGACGCGTATCCTGCTGGGAAAGACTCCACGGTCCCTTTTTCCTGGAAGCCTCCCAAGTTCCCGATGTTGGCTTTAGTCCTTCATACAGCGGCAGTGACGAGAGGCACAAAACCCTTACTGCGCCTCCGGGGCCGTCGTGAGGGCCAGTGCAGTCGCCTCTTGGCGCCCCAGTGAATCCGCGTGATTCCTCTGCCCTCAGCCCACGCGCGCCTCCAGCTTCAGTGTTCCAGGAGTGGCCTCCCCAGGACCCCACCCGCGCTGCCCACAGAACCCCAGAGCTGGGAGGCCCCGAGGGCTCGCTTGGAAAACTTGCCGACTCCTCGGCTGTGGTTAGACAAGTTCGGGCTGCGAAGTCTCTGTGGCTTTTCGAGAACTTTGACGAGCAGTTTCTTCAGACTCACCTGCGCATCTCCCTGTAGGTAACCTGCAAGTGCACTTGGCTCAGCGTAAGCCTTTTCCCTGTGGGTCCTGGGCTCCATGTTTGCTATTTTGATTGTTCTTCACCAACGGAAGATTCCAGAAACCCGGACTGGTTCAGCGAATGCCCCTCCGTGCAGCCGGGAGCTATGCCTCTCCGGCACCGGCCGGTTCCCGGCGGGCTGGTCTCGTGAGGGACCACTTGACAGAGCGTTGGGAAAATCCTAGAAGTCACGCATTGCTGCGGGCTTCTCTTTCAGCTTCCTGACCTCCCGGTAACCTCTGATGGCCAGGACAGCCCCCGCGGCAAAGACCACAATGCCCAGGGCCGCAAAGACCCCGGCGCCGATGTCGCCGCCGTGGAATCCGCAGCCGAAGCCGCTGTAGCCCTTGCTTTGGTACAGCGCCTCCCTCTCTTTACACACGGCGGAGCCGTAGGCGGCGGACAGGTGCTGGAAGTAGAAGTACAAGGCGGGGATGTACGCCCCGGCCACGAGCGCGTCCAGCACACCTTCGGCCACCAGCCACAGGGGGCAGTGCCACGGGACCCGCAGGACACCCACGAGGAGCAGAAGGCAGGAGAAGGCCGTGAGTGCTCCGCCGTAGGCCATGGCAGCCGTGGCCGTGGGCAGCTTGAGCTGGTAGAACTGGACATCCAGCTGCCGGGCCTTCTCCCCGTCGGCACCGTCGAAGCCGCTGTAGGCGCCCCCGTACTGGTAGTAGTAAATGCCCCCCAGGCTGGTGAGGCCCGTGTAGCCCCCAGTGGAGCTGTAAGACACAGAGCTGCAGGCCAGGATCAGCAAGTTCAGCAGAACCTCCAGCATCTGGCAGCAGGCTGCAAAGACAGGGCGGGTCCCCCAGTGAGAGACGCCCCGCGGCAGGGGGAGGACCCCACCCGGGGCTGACCCTCCCCGCCGCACGCCCAGAGCCGGCTCTCTGGCCTGGCCCCACTCCACAGCCGCACCGACAGGACACCACAGAGTTGGTGTCAGAAACACTTCGGGCTGCAGAGCGGAACTCACAAGACAGCAAGGCGGCCCGCCCCGGGGGGGATGTGCAGGAAGACGATGGGAGGCAGGAGGCGGGCGAGAACATCCTACACCCCCGGCCGCCCCTCCCCACAGCACTGAATCGGCAGTCTCCTCTCTGTACACGCCTTGCCCTGCTTCACCTTCTAAGTGGAGCTTTCTCACGGTCAGAAGACAATCATAGAGCTTAAAAGAGATAATTTTTTTTTTTTTTGACAGGCAGAGTGGACAGTGAGAGAGAGAGAGAGAGAGAGAAAGGTCTCCTTTGCCGTTGGTTCACCCTCCAATGGCTGCCACGGCCGGCGCACGGCACTGATCCGATGGCAGGAGCCAGGTGCTTCTCCTGGTCTCCCATGGGGTGCAGGGCCCAAGCACTTGGGCCATCCTCCACTGCACTCCCTGGCCACAGCAGAGAGCTGGCCTGGAAGAGGGGCAACCGGGACAGAGTCCGGCGCCCCAACCAGGACTAGAGCCCGGTGTGCTGGCGCCACAGGCAGAGGATTAGCCTAGTGAGCCGCTGCACCGGCCATAATGCAGTTTTACAAAGTGTCTAGTTAAATTGTTGACTGTGGTATGCATGTAGTAGAAGTAGGGAGGATTCGGTTAAAGAAAGCCACAGTGCTTACTGAACGAAACAGATTTGTTTACTGTTCTTGGACACTTTTTGTTTTTTAAAGATTTATTTATTTGAAAGAGTTACACAGAGAGAGAAAGAGAGGCAGAGAGAGAGAGAGAGAGAGAGAGAGAGGGAGGGAGAGGTCTTCCATCCACTGGTTCACTCCCCAAATGGCCACAACAGCTGGAGCAGTGCCGATCCGAAGCCAGGAGTCAGGAGCTTCTTCCGGGTCTCCCACATGGGTGCAGGGGCCCAAGGACTTGGGCCATCTTTTACTGCTTTCCCAGGCCATAGCAGAGAGCTGGATTGGAAGTGGAGCAGCCAGGACTTGAACCGGCGCCCATATGGGATGCCAGCACTGCAGGCGATGGCTTTATTGGCTACGCCACAGTGCCAGTCCCATGGACACTTTTTTTTTTTTTTTGACAGGCAGAGTGGACAGTGAGAGAGAGAGACAGAGAGAAAGGTCTTCCTTTGCCGTTGGTTCACCCTCCAATGGCCGCCGCGGCCGGCGCGCTGCGGCCGGCACACCGCGCTGATCCGATGGCAGGAGCCAGGTGCTTCTCCTGGTCTCCCATGGGGTGCAGGGCCCAAGCACCTGGGCCATCCTCCACTGCACTCCCTGGCCACAGCAGAGGGCTGGCTTGGAAGAGGGGCAACCGGGACAGAATCCGGCGCCGCAACCGGGACTAGAACCCGGTGTGCCGGCGCCGCTAGGCGGAGGATTAGCCTAGTGAGCCGCGGCGCCGGCCTTGGACACTTTTAAATATGTCTTAAAAGTTTAATTTGGGGGCCTGCATCGTGGCACAGTTAAGCCGTGGCTTGCACCCATTTCTGAGTGCCAGTTCTAGTCCCAGCTGCTCTGCTTCTGGAACGAGCATTAGCTTCCTGCTAATGCTCTTGGGAAAGAGGCAGAAATGGCTGAAGTACTTGGGAAGACCAGTACGGAGTTTCTGGCTCCTGGCTTCGGCCTGGCCCAGCCCTGGGAATGGTGGCCATTTAGGAGAGTGAACCAGAAGACAGATTTCTTTCTATCTGTGTCTTTTGTATGTATATATACACACACACACACACACACACACACACACATGAAAAGATTTATTTATTTATTTGAAAGGGAGAGAGAGAGGTCTTCCATCCCCTGGTTCACAGTGGCTGCAATGGCTGGAACTGTGCCGATCTGAAGCCAGGAGCCAGGATCCAGGAGCTTCCTCCAGGTCTCCCACGCAGGTGCAGGGGCCCAGGATCTTGGGCCGTCCTCCACTGCTTCCCCAGGTATATCAAGCAGGGCGTTGGATTAGAAGTAGAGCAGCTGGGACTTGAACCGGCACCAACAGGGGATGCCTGCGCTGCGTGCAGCGGCTTTACCCGCTACACCACAGCGCCAGCCCTGTCTCTGTGTCTTTTTGACTCCTCTCTCTGCCTTTCAAACAAATCATCTTTTATTTTTTTAAGATTTAACTTGAATCCTTTAGTCTTCCTGAAGAGCGTTAGGTAGGCTGTAATGTTTTCCCAGAGCTAGAATCTTTCAAGGACCTTGGCTTCTTTATCTTGGGCAAAGAAAGCTGACTTTCCCTTAAAATCCACTTTGCTGAGATGGAACTTACACGAGCAAAAAGACTTCAATGAGCAGCCAACTGGGTGAGTTTTGACGCACGTGTCTACACACGTGTCTGCCCCGGAACCATCATCAAGAAACAGAACACCGGCCGGCGCCGCGGCTCACTAGGCTAATCCTCTGCCTTGCGGCACCAGCACACTGGGTTCTAGTCTCGGTCGAGGCGCCGGATTCTGTCCCGGTTGCCCCTCTTCCAGGCCAGCTCTCTGCTGTGGCCAGGGAGTGCAGTGGAGGATGGCCCAAGTGCTTGGGCCCTGCACCCCATGGGAGACCAGGAGAAGCACCTGGCTCCTGCCTTCGGATCAGTGCGGTGCGCCAGCCGCAGCAGCCATTGGAGGGTAAACCAACGGCAAAGGAAGACCTTTCTCTCTGTCTCTCTCTCTCTCACTGTCCACTCTGCCTGTAAAAAAAAAAAAAAAAAAAAAAAAGAAAAAAAAAAAAAGAAAAGAAAAAGAAACAGAACACCAGAACCTCCCTAGTAATGCTCTGGGCCAGCCCCTCACCTCCCCCTCAGGATAGCACCGGTCTCCTTTCTCTCATTAGAAGTTAATTTTATCTTTGCTGGAAGGTCACATGGGGCAGGTGTGTGGCACAGCAGCTAACCTGCTGCCTGGGCTGCCCACATCCCATACTGGAGAGCCTCGTTAGCGTCCTGGCTCCTCTGCTTCTGACGCAGCTTCCTGCTAATGTGCACCCTGGGAGGCAGCAGGCGACGGCTCAGGCGCTTGGGTCCCTGCCACCCATGTGGGCGATCTGGATGGAGTGCTTGGCTCCTGGCTTCAGCCTGACCCGGCCCTGCCTATTGCCACCACGTGGGGAGTGAACCAGTGGATGAAAGATCTCTCTAAAATATGAACTCTAAATCTCAGTTTTCTGGGTCGCAGACAGGAACTACTGACTACAGAAATGACAGTGTCTTGGGAGAAAAACTTCTAAGGATGCTTTGCAGGGCAGGCTGCAGCCAGCTACCCACCCTCCTGATTTGAGTTCTAAGGGTCTAAGGCAAGAGAGAAAGGACAAAACACGAGAAGGTGCTCTGCAACAGACAGGGAACTTGTAACTCCTCACCTGTCTCTCCAAATAGTAATGACACAGCCTGCAGGCGCCCAGGATTCCTGTGGTCTGACAGGTGCTTCTAACATCTGTACTTGCTTTCTGTCTGGCCACTCTCCTTAGCCCCTCAAGATTTTAGGATCTGAGAATTCTTCCCCATCATTGAGAGCTTTGGGGCTTTCTCTTGCCATTGCTAACCTCTGTGTTTCCATGAACCTCCCAGAGGCAAATCACAGCCGCACTTCAGGGTCTCCCGAGGCAACCAGCGAAGGCTGTGGCTGCCTCCTACTTTTGCAACTTTGCTGTAGGGGCCACATTTCAGCCCTTGGGAAAAGCAGTCACTCGAAGACAGGCTACAGGTCTCGGCGTGACCTTTATCCTCCATTTCCTGGTGCCTGACAGCCGTGTCTGCCAGCACAAGGCCTGATTGTGTATTTATATGGGGCTCTGCACACCCAGGGTGCTTTATAAGCCCTCGTTTGTTAGCTGCCAAGTGCAGAACCATCCTTTCACTACCTCGACTTAGAAACCCAACCTCCAGGCTGAAGGCCAAATAGCCAGGAGCAATCAAGGCGAAATCAAGGCATACTTTGCTCAGAGGCCCCAAGCCCTGCCCTCCCCCCTTGGTAAATCAACGACAGAAATAGTCATCTGTACACGGGGCAACCTGTTAGCCAGGCTCGTATACCTTGAAGAAAAGCAAGGTCAAGCGAGTAACCCACGTGAGGCCGGAGTCACACTGAAAGGTTTAGATTCCATTTCCTGTTCTTGCACTTGACACCTGTGTGCCTCTGCACCTACCTCTCAGGGCCTTGGGCGTGCCGGCCCACACCAGCTCACTCCCTGGATGGCCTGGAGCCCTTGCAGCCCAGTTCCTTCTATCCCGCCATCACGCACACTTTGGTGATTGTCCTAGGACAGGCTTTCAGGTGTGAATGAACACAGATTTCGCTCCCTCAGGCTGGGGCCTTTTCTCTCACATACAGAGCCCAGGACAGTTTCTCACTGAATCATGTGAGTCACCAGGGCTCGCCCTGCTCAGCCAGATTCCTCTCATTGTTGGCAGGGACGGTGCTAAGTTGAGAACCCTGGGAAGCCACGTTCCGAGCTGGCTCATGGTCTGGTTTAAGTGTTCTTCGGACCGTGGTTCCGACGCGAGTGAGTTCTTGGGTTTTGCTGGTAACAGCAGAGAGGCCATCAAGTGCTTGGTATGTAAGAGTGCCAGTGTCCAGTCATGACGTTTCTGTCTCTGCGCACGTGGGAACTTGGTCCTAACATAGAAAGGATTTCCCACGGCAATGTCTGAAAGCCATCGATGGGGGATGTGGGCACCAGGGGCCCTGTGGCCATCGCACGGGTCCGTGTGGCCTGAGCTGCATCCTGGCTGCAGGCGATGCCCCCGCCCCATTCTAAGTCAGCCCACCTCGCCCAAGGAGCCTCCCCTGATGGCTGGCTGCCCCCAGGCAAGGCCCCTTCAGCCCCCTGCAGCCGCACGCCCTGCCGATTGCCCGCCCGGGCCCTGGCTCATCTTGGAAGCCCAGGAACCCCACAGCACCTTTTGCAGGTTCCTGCCTTTTTCTGCATGAGACCCCCATGCAGGGCCCAAAACGGAAACGCCAGGGACCCCAAAGGGAGGTCTGCCTGCTGCCCAGCTCAAGCCCACCTGTCCCTCCCACCTTGCAGAACCACCAGCGACAGTAACGGCGCAGCTGGCTCCGGACAGCTCACCTCGCCCGGTGCACAGGTATCTGCACTTGTGGCAGTCCAGCAGTCCTTCAGCCTCTGACTGCGAAAACTCCACTTCCTCCAGCCCGGGCCTGGGGTTCGAGGGCAGGTATCTCCCGGAAGCGGGTTCACTAGAACCGAAAAGCACACGTGGCCATTAGGGCAGAGCTCCAGCCCGACAGCCTGTCCCGCAGGAGACTGTGCAGAACAGAAATAACATTTGCTCCAGTATTCCAGACTCCAGAGAATCTCACTGAGTGGCCTTGCAGGGCATCCAAGCCCTTGACCCAACCCCGCCGACAAACCGTGTAGCAGCTCCTGCGGTCCAGTGCACCAGAGCACAACCTCCAACCTGCTTTAAAAACAATTTTTTTTTCAGGGCCAGAGCTGTGGCATGGTGGGTAAAGAACGCCAGCATCCCCTGTGAGCGCCAGTTAGAGTCCCCACTGCTCCACTTCCGATCCAGCTCCCTGCTACTGCGCCTGGGAAAGCAGTGGAGGGTGGCCAAGCCCTGGGGCCCCTGCACCCAGGCAGGAGGCTTGGAGGAGGCTCCTGGCTTTGGATGGGCTCAGCTCTGGCCACTGTGGCCATCTGGGGAGTGAACCAGTGGATGGAAGATTTCTCTCTTTCTCTCTCTCTCTCCCTCTCTCTGTAACTCTTTCAAATAATTAAAATAAATCTTTAAAATGGCTTTTTCTATATTTTTTATTTATTTGAAAAGCAGTGAAACACAGAGATCTTCCATCCAAGGGTTCACTACCCAAATAGTGGCAACCATTAGGGTGGGGCCAGGCGAGACCCAGGAACAAGCCTGGAACTAAATCTGGTCCGCTACATGGGTGGCTGGGGCCCAAGACCCAGGGGCCCAGACCTGCTGCCCACAAGGACGCATATCAGCAGGAAGCTGGAATGGGAAGTGGAGCCGGGACAGCTCCGACTGCCCCTGGGGAGCTGTCTGACCAGGCTGCGCGAACCTAAGGTCTCCGTTCAGTGTGGACCACACTTCTTCAAAGTCACCGGCAAGTCACCGTTGGTGACGAGGTGTCCCAGGACCTGGGTGGGTGCCGGGCTGGCTTCTCTTGTGTCTCTCGGCACTCTGGGAGGTGCCGAGTTGGCAGTGTAGGAACCATGGGCAGCTGCCCAGATCTCTAGATCCTCGCTAACTCTGCTGGCCTTGGCCACTTTCCGCCCCAGCCTGCCCCTCCCCCTACCTGTATCCAGCCCATCCTGAGCTCTGTCCAAGCTTCCAGGGGCAAGGGTGCCGTGTTCTGTTCCCCGTTCTGGAACACAGAGCTCATTCGCAGCTCTTCAGGCTCGAGGTCCTGAAACTTGCAGTGCAGTCCAGGAGGCACCTGCTCCGCTCCCCTCTCTCCCCCTCCCACTCTCAGCCCCCCTCAATGTCCCTCCCACCCCCACCCCTCCAGGTCTGCGGCAGGGCTCCTGTCCTGCCACCCAAGCTCATTAAGTGGAGGAAAAGACAGAAATAACTTGCTCTTTGGTTTCAACCCGCCAGCTGGCTATGGGTCAAAGGAAGAGCTCCACAGGGGTGGTGGGGTGCGGGGGGAGCCGGGCTGCAGGTTTGTAAGGGAACCGGGACCCGCGGCTCTGGAGTCTCCTGGCTACGCAGCAGCCGTGGGATGCGGCCGAGGTCCCAGAAGCCACAGCGAGTGCCCGGGGACCTGACCTGGGCACGCCCTTTGTCCTGCGAGTTGGTTTTAGATAATGAAACATAAACTCTGGAGACAAACACTTTCCCACAGTGTGGACACAGGACTCAGCCTCCAAGTCGCCCCAGAGAGGCCAGGTGTCAAAAGGCAGAAGCCAGTCAGCACCCCAGGACCAGGCTGTAGCCATCTTTTCTCTGCCACAGGCCTGGGCAGAGAATCTGCACATTCAGTAGTAGTGTGGAAATGGAATGAACAGTTAGATGGGGGAAAAAGTCCAGCTCCTCAGGAGGCCGTGCGGGGGCCAGGTGGCCTCCTGCCCGCCCCCGACCCGGCTCACAGCATCCTAAGGGCCCTGGGGATTCGCCGCGTTCCCCACGGCAGGGACCGCCCGGCTTGTTCACCGGGGAGCGTGCGGCGGCCTCACCGCGGACGCCAACAGGTGCGCGCCCAGGTGCACCCAGTTCCCGGGTGGACAGCCTGGCGGAGGTGGGCTGCTACCGACATGCGCAGATCGCCGGCGGGCCACTCCGGCAACCCCAGCTCTTCCCGGGGCCGACCGCACAGGCCCGCCTCGGAGAACCGGACTCTGAAAGCCGGGAAGCGCCCGACTCGGGAACAACCGGACACGAGGCGCCGGCCTGGGAGCAGGTGGGGAAAGAGTCGCGGAGGGGCCCCTCTCCGCCTCCCTCCGGGTCAGCTGGGCCCTGGCCCGGTCACTGCCTACAGGGCCGGTCTCCCCTTTGTAGACGGGGCCCCCGCCACGAGGTGGGGACTCCGCGCAGCCCCTCCCAGCCCCCCACGTCCCTCCCCGGCCACGCACGACGGGGGCCACCGCATTTCCTGGGGCGGGCGGCGGGGCGGGGCGGGGCAGCGCCGCCGGCTGCGCGTCGCAGGGCCCGGCCCCCGCTCACCTGTCCGGGCCGCGGCGGCCCAAGCCCTCCTTCCTCTGGGGCGGCGGCTCCGGGGTTTCCCAGGGCGCGGGCCAGGGGGGCGGGGCTGCGTCCCGCGCCCGGCTCTGGCGGGGCTGTTCCCACTCTCTTTGTCCACCTGCGCGACGGCCCGCGTCCCTGGGTCTGTCCTGGTGGGGGTCTCGGTCCCTCCCCCTGTCCCGGTCCCCGGCCCTCCGCGCGTCGCCGTTTCGCTCCCTGCGCCGGTCCCCGGGTCTGTCCCGCGGTCGCTCCGGGTGGCGGTCTCGTTCCGAACGGGGGCGCCGGTCTGGGTCGCGCTCTCTCGGCCGGGCCCCGCGAGTCCCCGACCTATCTTCCATGGCTTGTCTCTCTGTCCCCACTCGGGAGCGACCCGAGGGCAACAGCCAACCACAAGTTTCCCGGGCAGGTGGCCAAGCCCGGGGGCGGGGCGGCGGGCGGCTCACCTGGGCGCACGCGCGCTGGCCCCGCGGTGTTCGGTCCAGGCAGCGCTCCCCCCCCGCGGCGGGGGCGCCGACAGGGGGCGCCCCTGCGCGCGGCCCGGGGTCCGAGCGGAGGGCGTGAGTGTGCGCGCGCGGGGGTGGGGTTGGGGAATCATTGCCCACCGGGCTCCATCTGCCCTGAAGGACCCCGTTGGTGACCTTGCTACCTGCCACGGCCCAACTTACACGGCGTCTTGGGTTTTGCTTCTCCGCTCGCTGGCTCACTCATCTGTCCATGCACCTGTCCATCTCGCATTGGCTCATCTGTCCTCCACCCATCTGCTGGCCTCTCATCCACGTCCTTTTGCTATCCTTGCAACAGTTGTTTTGCAGTTCGTGTTTTGCGACATTCCTGGACTCGAAAACATTTGTTTTTAAGTGGGGAACCACACAGAATCCACAGCTTTTTGTTACCAAGTGAGGTTATTTAAAAACACACAAAATCGCTAGCTGTGAATTCTTTTTTTTTTTCTTTTTGTTTACCTAAGAGGCAGAATTAGAGAGAGAGAGAGAGAGAGGTCTTCCATCTGCTGGTTCACTCCCCAAATGGCCACAGCTGCTGGAGCTGGGCCGATCCAAAGCCAGGAGCTCCTTCCTGATCTCCCGCATGGGCACAGGGGCTCAAGCACTTGGGCCACCCTCTGCTGCCTTCTCAGGCCACCAGTAGGGAGCTGGATAGGAAGTGGAGCAACCAGGAGTTGAACTGGCACCTATGTGGGATGCCGGCACTGCAGGTAGAGGCTTAACCTACTAAGCCACAGCGCCGGCCCCAAATTCTTTGAACAAATATATGAAAAGCACTTTAGCAGGAGCTGTTGGTACAGAGATGAGCTCTGCTTGGGTGGTGCTTTGTTCTAGCGGGTGGGCAGGAGGGGCAGCAGGTTACCAGCAAGGACAGGAGACTGCGTGACCTCTGATGGGGAGAACACGTTTCTGTATGTAGGTCCAGCAGGATGACCTTTGAACTGAGTGTGAACGACAAAGAGGAAGCCTGGGGAACGGCTGAGGAAGCGTTCTGGGAAGAGCAGTGAGTAACACGGGAGCCGGGCAAGGTGGCTGCGGGTGGAGTCTGGGCACGGGAGAGGCTGGGGCAGCGGGGCAGCCAGAGGGATGCGGGCCTCCCTGGTGGACACTCCACATTTTAACTCTAAGAGCAATGGGAGACGATCGAAGGGTTTGAGCAAGCAAGTGACTTGCTCTGATTTCTGCTTCTAAGAGATCGCTGTGGCTTCTGTGAGGAGGCGGATCCTCAGGTGACCAAGATAGAATCCAGAGGGGCCAGCACCATGGTTCACTGGGCTAATTCTCCACCTGCGGCGCCGGCACCCCGGTTTCTAGTCCCGCTTGGGGTGCCAGTTCTGTCCCGGTTGTTCCTCTTCCAGTCCAGCTCTCTGCTGTGGCCTGGGAGTGCAGTGGGCCCTGCACCCGCATGGGAGACCAGGAGGAAGCACCTGGCTCCTGGCTTCGGATCAGCACAGCATACCGCCTGTAGCAGCCATTTTGGGGGTGACAATTTGGGGGTGAACCAACGGAAGGAAGACCTTTCTGTCTCTCTGTCTCTCTCTCTCACTAACTCTGCCTTTCAAAAAAAAAAAAAAAAAAAGAATCCAGAAATCCAGAGGGGAGCTTGGAAGCTACGGAAGGAATCAGGTGAGGGCTGGAGGCGGCCAGGAGGAGGAAGAGCTGTGGCTGGATCCAGGTTGCCGTTCGGGGAAAGGACTTTGGCTTCCATTCAGTGTGGACTCTGCTTTGGTAGTGTCCAGAACTGGCCTCCTGGCCCCTTCACCAGTTCACTGGCTTCCCTCACGTAAATGCTCTGTGTCCATTTCAAGAACCCATGGTTTAACAGCCAGCTCACACAAAACTCCTGAGAAGGTGGCGACTGGCTCTCGTTGGCTGTGTTGAGCCGACTCCTCCTCATCGATGTCTCCCTCCCACCCACACCTGTTCTTTGACATCACCCACAGCTGTCTGAGAGAGGAGCTGGCACACAGAGGGCGTCAGGGCTGCGAGAACCACAGGCAGTGGCACTGAAGCCTTAGTGGCACCCAGAACCGCTGGATCAACCCATGTCTGAAGGCAGCTGATCTCCAGGCTTCCCAGCTGTGGAAGCCTGGCCCCACGGGGGAGCCCCAGAACACAAATCGCGCCACGGAACTGGTCTACAAGTAGAGGCACTCCGTCACCAGCCGAGGTCTGCTGTGGGTGGGGATGAGGGATGTAGCTTGTCCTGGTCCACTTGGGCTATTGTGATGAGATAACACCCTGAGCCGGGTGATTTTGAAGTCACAATAATGAACAGAACTTTAATTCTCACAATTCTGGCTGGGAAGTTCAAGATCATGGAACTGGCAGCAGATTTAGGTGTAGAAGGGCGCTGATCCCAGTGGATACTGCTGTCTACGTATTCTCACGTGGAGGAGTGAACAAGGCAGCTCCCTGCAACCTCCTTTGCAAAATCACCAATTGGCCCATGACTAAGCCCTCACGACGGAGCCACTTCCCCCAAAGGCTGCACATCTTACCGCTGTCACTTTGGCTGTTAGGTTCCAGCATGTGAATTTTGGAGACATCAGCATTGGGACCAAAGCCCTGCACCCCCGCCCCCTCAAAATTCATGTTCTCCCGAGCAAAACACAGCCGTTCCATCCCGGTAGCTCCCCAAGCGCATGCTTCTTCCAGCACCAACTCCACATCCGAAGTCTCGTCCAGATCAGGCATGGGTGAGACGCAAAGGGGAGCTCTCTTCTGCTGTGAGGCTGTGACATCCGCCCAGTTTCGTGCTGACAGAATGCAAAGGGAGGAGTAGGAAAGACGAGGGGGTAAGAGACCTTGGTTACCTGGTGCCCTATGGCTCCATGTCGTCTTCCTTGGCGTCAGCTCCCTGCTTCTGGACACACCGGGAGGCTGCAGGTGCTGGCTGGTCTCCACTTCCTCTTCCAAAACTTCGCTGCTGCCCCATCCGGAGGGGAGCCCGAGTCTCCTCCCTGGGTGGGCCTCGGTGACAGTCCAGACAAACACCATCACCAGGGGGCCCAGGGCAAAACGAAGATGCACAGTGCTTTGTTCACATACGAAGAATTTCAAGATGGTGACAGTAGAGTTTGAAACCAAATAAAGGACTCTTTTTATTATTTTTAAGAATATTTTATTGATTTATTTTCATTTTGTTTGAAAGATGGAGAAGCAGAGAGAGAAAGATCTTCCACCCACCAGTTCACTTTCCAAAAGCCCTCAATAGACAGGGCTAGGCCAGGCAGGCAAAAACCAAGAGCCTGGAATTCAACTTGGATCTTGGGTGGCAGGGACCCAGGTGCCTGAGCCCTCACTGCTGCCCTCGGGTTGTCCATCAGCAGGAAGCTGGACCGGGAGTGGAGTCGCTGGGACTCAAAGCAGGCACTCTGATGTGGGACTGCACGGGTCACCGGACCATCAGGTTGGCCCCAGATGGAACCCACTGGAATGCACTGAGTGACTTCTGACAGTTGTAGTAGTAATGCAGCACCCGCCCGGGGCCCAGCCGCAGGGATGTGAGGAACCCAGGCGAGGTTCAGGCGCCACATGCAGGTGCTGGCCCCCAGCCCCAGCTGAGCTCTCAGCAGCAGCCAGCACTGGGGCAGATCTTACAGAAGTCCTGAACGGTTCAGGCTCCAGCTGCCGCGTCATCCCTTGGCTTTGGTCTCTGTGCTCAGACCCTGGATGTCACCATTTAGACAAGCTGCGCCCTTTCTGAATTCCTGACCCACCGAATCCGTGAGCTCGGGAGTGATTTGTCACTCAACCAAGGAGGACAGGATAGCCCCCTCTCCCCCGGCTCGAATCGGCCCCTCCGTCTCTGAGTTGCTGTGGTTTGGGTTCAAAAGACGCATTTGATCTGTTGTCTCAACATTCTGAACATATCCATTCGGATAGTGTCTTTCCCACCACGCGAACCATCAGCAGTGCCGGCCCGAGTCTCTGTTTCCAGGAAACTGGAGTCAGGAGCTAGAGGCAGGCGTGGGACTCGGGTATTCTGATGAGGGGCACAGGTGTGCTGCCTGCCAGGCCAAGCGCCCGCTCCCCAGATCCCACATCCTTTGTTCATCCCTCTGTTCTTCCCGGGCCTGCAGTGGGACCTTGTGCATGGGGGCTGCAGCTCTTCTGAGCAAACCTGGACCAGAGCCCAGAGCAGAAGCAGTGGAGGGTTGAAGAGTAGGGAGGAGGAGAGTCCTTGCCATGGGTCTGAGGAAGACAACTTTCTAGAAGAGAAGCTCTTGTTTGGATGTAATCTGACCATGCGCTCAGCCGTCGTGGGAATCAGGCAGCTGCTACAACAGGTGCAAAAAGAGGCCATTGATCGGAGATCTTGACGCCAGTGCACAGAGCGGGGGCGAAAGAGACTTTTTCTGGTGAGGGAAAGGCAGAGCAGTTCGGTGTGGCTGGCAGACGGTGTGCCTGTCTGGGAGGAGCGTTTCTTCAGCATTGCTATCCGTGATCTCCAGCGTACAGAGCCGCACCACAGCTGGGAGGCAGCGGGAGGCAGAGGCGGACAGCCTGGGGTAGAGCGCTCTGCACACCTGTGGCTTCCCCCGCAGCACTAGTCGCAAGGTGCAGGCTGTGCTCCGAGGCAGAGGGCGGATGTGAAGTGGCATGAGAGTTCTGGGCTCCGGAAGGTGTCGCTGAGGCTTGCTCTGACAAGCGGTGTCCAGGCTGCTTCTGGGTAAGCAGGTTTGGGAGGGAGTCTGGGCTTCGGGATGCTAGTTCCCTGAGGCACCCTGTTTGAGAACCGGTGAGTCCCATCCTAAAGGAGAGACTCCTGTAAGAATAAAATCCAGGGCTGGCATTTAGCCCAGTAGTTAAAACACCCACCCCTGCATCCTGCATTGGAGTGCGTGAGCTCCATCCCTGACTCCACTGCTTTCTCCGGCTTCCTGCTGTTCTGCACACTGGGATGGTGATGGCCCAGTAAGTGGTTCCTGCCACCCCTGGGGGGCACCTGCATTGGGTTCCCAGGTTCCAGCTGTGGCATGGCACAGCCCCAGCCATTGTAGTCATTAGAGGGGCAATGCAGTGGGTAGGAGCTGTCTCTCTGTGTCTCTGCATCGCAAATAAATGCATTTTAAAGAAAAGAGACAATTCAAATACTTTCCTAAGTTTCCTTTTTACAAACAGTGGCCATCCTATTGGTTTGGGTCCATTCTCTGGCATTTGGGGCAGAGTTTATTCTCCCAATTTACTGCTTTGAGTGGGTTCACTGGGCCGTGCTCTAGAAGGCACGCGGACCGAGGAGACATCCTCGCGTCCTGGCTGTGTGATCCGACCTCCTTCCCGTGTCTGTGTCAGCTTCCAGGCTCAGGTGTAGCAGAATCCAACTTCCTACCAGTTCCGGGGCAGCGGCTCTGGGAGGGACAGGAAGCCTGCAGGGTGGTGGTGCTGCGTGTGCGCAGAGCTGGCCAGCAGGGGGCAGTACAGGCTCAGGCTGGCACATCCCAGAGCCACAGGCCCCCTCTTCCTTTGTTAGCATCTCCTCACCCAGTGCCTTCTGGCTGACCATAGTTCTCTCTCGCCGGTGGGAAGGAACGCCTGGAGTTGATGATTTTGCTGTTTCCTGAGCATCACGTCCTAGGTAGTTACCCAACCCCTCTGTGCCCCAGTGTCCTTGTTTACAAAACAGGGACACAGTCCCTCGAGGCTCCAGCAGGGGCTGCCATCCTCTGGGCTTTGTTGGGGCTTGAGGATCTGCCCCAAGGGGGGCTCACTGCTGTGGAGGGCTGCGTGCTGGCGGGAGGCTCAGGTCCGGGCTGGTGGGCTTCGTGGCAGGGCTGCCGCAGCATCGTCACTGCATGATTGTTGATTTTCCTAGAGTCGAGCAATCCAGAGACCAAGGTAGAAGCTGCCGTGCCTTGATTGACCTTTTCTTTTTCATTTAAATATATTTATTTTCATTTTACTTGAAAGGAAGAGAGAGAGAGAGAGAGAGAGAGAGAGAGAGAGAGAGCGCTTTCATTAGCTGCTGTATTATTCCCCAAATACCTGCAACTGCCAGGGCAGGGGCAGAAGGATTCCACAAGGCGGCTCCACAAGCCTGGAGCTCAATGCAGGTCTCCCACCTGGGCGGCAGGGACCCGAGCACCTGAGCCTCCCCTGCTCCTTCCCAGGATGTGCGTCCGCAGGAAGCTAGAATCAGGAGTGGAGCTGGGACTTGAACCCTGGCACTCTGATATGGGATGCAGCTGTCTCAAGTGGCACCTTAAGTGCCTTGCCCTCACAGATGCTGTTTCCTCTCACTAAATTCATTCTTTAGATAAATTCCCAGGAGTGGGATTCCTGGACCCGAGATGATGGCTCTTCTGGGTCTCCATGTGTCTCATCACTTTGTTTTCTCCAGTGGCCTGCGTCTGAGAGACAGCTGTGACAAGCCCAAGTCCTGTGTACTATTTGTCTCCCATAGTTAACAGCGTGGCATTTTCCATCATTGCATCCAGCGGCAGAGTCCACCAGGGGGCACCGCAGGAAGCCAGCTGTTCTCCAAGCTTAAGCGGTCAGCCATGAAACTGGCACCACCACACAAAACAGGTTCTCCCAGCCCTTTCATTCCGGTAAACAGCCGGCACCAGCCTGGAAAGCTGACTCAGAGTGAGCTCACCACGCTGCGAGGCACCAGCACCTGCGAAGTGCCATCGGCGTGGGCAGGTGCGGTGTCGTCCGCTCGGACGTCAGCTGTCCGCCCTGCCCTGTTGGCAGCTGCACCGTGTCCAGCAGTTCCCTGCGGCTGGTGATTGCTGACTTGGCAGGTGCAAGAGGCAGGCTTGGACCAGGGAGGGCGCAGCTCCGACTCTGAGATCCGACTTCTGTGACACGGAACGCGGGCAAAGGGCGGTGCCCCCCACCAACAAGCTCTCCATCCAACAGGGTTCCCTTCTTTGGGGGCACACGGTACCCCCAGAAGACTGCAATATCTGTGCTCCCCACATGTTCTCAAAGTGAACTTGGGCACAGAGGGGCAAGCGGAAGCGCCACAGATGGGGGGTGGGGGGACTCTGTGTTTTCATGGCCATGGCCGTGGCCGTGCCTGGTGTGTTGTGCTCAGAACACATGTATACAATAAAGGAGCGGACTAATTCTGCTTTTAAAGGCAATACTGTTATTTTGTATTCAGTTAACCTACTATGCCACAGCGCCAGCCCCTCGCTGTGACTTTTAAGAAGTCTGAAAGCTAGTAACACTTACTAAGCACCCAGGTCAAACGGCTCATGATGAAGATAAAAGTGACCACAAATCTTAAAGGGCTTCTTCTGGTCATGTATTTGTGGTTGAAAGATCTGTGGAGCTATCCGGGTTTGAATAGCAAACCTGCTACCTGATAGATTTGTGGACTTGGGCAAGATATTTAATCTCAAGTTCCTCCGGTGAGATGAAAAGTTTTCCTCCACTGAGAATGAGCATGAAAATAGAACTAATTGCAGGAAGTACTTAACACAAGGAGAACACCTAGGGTTGGGACCGGCTTCTGAGTTCTACGTAGGTATTAGTTATCATTTTTATTTTCTCTCATATCACTTTATGACTTGAATTTCCCATGTTTTGCACAGGTTAGGGAAAGCATAACCATTTTAAAAATCTGTTTATTTTAGAGAAAGAAACATTGTGATAGACGTGGTGAGGCACAGTTGGATCTTCTGGGAGCAGTCAAGGAATGGAAACTTTGTGTCGTTGTCCCGTGAGTAAACCATCTTACAACTGGATCCTCCAGTCTCAGATGACACCTTGACTGCAACTTAGGAGAGACCCTGCCACCATTGCCTAAGGGAATCCTGGGGAATAAGTAGGTTTGAAGGGTGAATGTATGTTGGGGCTCACTGTTGTGCTAGAACTTGCTTCTTATCTGCCCACGTTGGGTCCAAGTCACGGTCTCCCATTAAGATTTGTCCTTCCATATTAATAAGCCAAAATATGTGAGCTTGCCCAATTTGTCATTTTCATCAGTGAGGATGTACATTCCAGCCTATTTGGCACTTGTAAATCAGTATTACAGTATTACTATATACTTGTTTTCTGATTTTAAAAAATCACATTGTGTGAATGTGTTTGTATTTTAAATCCCTCGCGAAAATGAACATCCACTTCTTAATTAAATTGGAATTAGGGACTCCCTTGTGCCGGGGACTGTTTCACACTGTATTAAACGAGTCAAACAAATATGACCCCTGCCCTCAGAAGTACAGAAACATGAAAAGAAACAGACTTTTGCTTCCCTAGAGCCCACACTTTGGCAAAAGCACAAGCCAGTGACATGTTGACCAAATATTTACAAGGCCCCATAAGCGTTATGGTTAATAATTTTCATGTCAGGGCCTCGAGGTAGTTGAGAAATCAATAGAGTAGCAAAATCTGTATCTTTTGTGAGCAGATTTATTGGTTGCTTTGCTAAGTTAACCACACATAAACTGTGAGAAAACACTGATGAGTGTGTGTGTGTGTGCGTGTGTGAACTGTTATTTAGCATTTATATTTTTCTTAAAGAAAGAGGACAGGGGATCGTGGGAGGCCCCGGAACACCTGGCAGCCATGTTCCTGTTATTGATTACTGCGCTGGCGTCAGGCAGCTTTCTCTTGCTATCCCCGTGTGCAGGAATCCTGCAGGTCCCATCTTCCACTGCTCTTTTTCCGCTCTTTCCGCACTCCCAGCATCCCAGGTGGCCCCGGGTTCTTTCCCCTTCATTTACCAGGACTTAGCCTTGCCTCAGGCACCTGATTCTCATTTTGGGAGGAGAGGATGAGAAGTGGAAGCGCAGAAGAGGGAGAGTTGGGGGTGAATAGATTCTTCCCTGTGTCAAACGCAACAAGGTGCAATACTGAAGTCACTGAGTGGACATTTCTCAATATTTGCTCTGGCGAAGAGAGGGAGCTAGAGCTGGTGTCTTGTTCTGGGAGCCTGAAACACCTTGTAAAGAGAGGGGAGCGAATGCACCCAGTCTCGGGTCAACCAGGCAGAAAGTCCAGCTGGCCTTTGCTTGTCAATTTGGCAAATGGTGACTCCTCCAAGTTTCAGACCAAGGACTGACAATGTCCCTGTATTCCTCTGGGCTCATCCAGAACCCTCCAGAGACATCTTTGGTGACAATCCTGCATCACCAGCTTCTTTATTCTGCATCAGGAGCGCCTGTGTCTTGTCTCTTTATCCCCAGCACCTAGTACAGGGATTGTCACTTTAAGGGCATCCAGTGGAAGCCAGTAAAGCAAAAGTTAACCAGAGCAGGTTGGCTCTGCCTTCCATCAGATTGTCGATGTTCATCAGGTCACAAAAGTTAATGAGTTTTGTTGCTTTATTGATCTCTTCAATACCACTTAAGTCCCATCAGCACTGGACAGGGAGCTTTAGTGGCTGTGGGGCAGGGGAGCCTGTTGGTTAGGAATACAGGTGCTGGTATGCGTATGGCCCCTGCCTGGGCCTAAGTGTTGACTCTGCCTTTAGCTGTGGGACCTTGGGCAAGTTCCTTGAACTTCCTCTGCCTGGGTGTTCGCAGGTGCTGAATATGTTTATAAATGAAATTATTATTGGAAAAAAAATCTCGTTTTGTTGCTAAAGATGATACTTGAATAGGTTTTTTCTTCTCCTTTCAGTTGCCTAACTTTATGTTCTGGTTAGGCTGCATATTGAGAAGTGTTGCTATCTGAGTTATTGCTAATTAAGATACATTCCCATTCTGATAAGAATACCAAGTGAAATTCGGAGAGTTAGTGCAAGTATCGCGCTTTGGCCTGTGCCTGACACAGCTGCTCAGTGCATATCAGCTGGTTCCAGGCTGTTCATTTGTCCAACAACTATTTTTGGGTATCTGCTATCTGCTAGGCACTAAGGATGCACCGTGGAACAAAAGCAAAGGCCCTGTCCTCATGGACTTGACTCTGTAATGGGACAAATCGATAGGAAGTAGAGTGTGTAAAATCCTTAGTGTATCATTGATTTTTAAGACACACATTTTTTGACCTACATGAAAGATCTCTGTGAGACCCCAGTGCAAAGAAGTTGCCATCAAAGAAGGAGGTACCTTTCTCTGAAGGGAGGAGAGAACTTCCAGTTTGCTTGTGGCCCTGTCTAACTACTGACGGAGTTTGTGGACGCAAAAGGCTCCTATAGCCTTGGCAGCTCACGACAAGAGCCTCAGGTGATTACTGATGTCATAAATAAGAGTGTCAATTGTTAAATCAACAACAGGAGTCATTGTGTACTTACTCCCCATGTAGGATCTCTGTCCTTAATAAGTTGTACCATGAGAATTAATGGTAAAACTAGTCTTCAAACAGTACTTTATACTCTGTGTCTGTGCGGGCGCAAACTGTTGAAATCTTTACTTAGTATAGAGTTGGTCTTCTGTATATTTAAAAATGAATCTTAATGAAGAATGGGATGGGAGTGGGAGTGGGAGGATAGATATGGGGGGAAGAACCACTATACTCCAGAAGCTGTACCTATAAAATTTATATTCATTAAATAAAAGCCTTCTAAAAACATTTTTTCACATGTTAACATCTCAGAAATTGAGATATTTCTTATAACTAGGGTGTTTTCATGATCATCTCCAGCACTTTTTCTTTTGTGTGGAAAATGATGGCGCGCGTCACACTCACTGGCGTCTTCGGCTTGAGGTGGTGAGGCAGCCTGCTAGGTACAATCCGTGTACGGACAAAACAAGGCCGGGAAGGGAGCCTGGCGGGGCTGGCGCCTTAGCCATGGTGCACTCGTGTGTCTTTTTTGCATTTGCAGGCTCTGGAAACGGACGACCCAGCTGTCTAACAAAACCATAAAGTTAAAAACGTTGTGAGTGCTAAATGCAGTGTGGTATCTTAGACGGGATCCAGGTGTTTCGTTTTGGCTTGGCTTTTTGGAGGTGCCCTTTTGTTCTCTCCTTAGAAGTTAAGGCAAGGGCTGGCAGTGGGCCAGAGGCTTCCCTTACCACTTGGGACACTGTCGTTCTCTGCGTGTGTAGGTCCAGTCCTCGCTACTCCGCTTTCACCCCAACTTCTTGATAATGTGCACCGTGGGAGGCAGCAGATGACGGCTCGTGGATTTGGGTTCCTGCCACCTAGGAGGGAGACCTGGACAGAGTGTTGGGTTTCTGGCTTCAGTCTGATCCAGCCCTGGCTGTTCCAGGCATTTGAGGGGTGAACCATCAGATGGAAAATTAATATCTCTCTCTCTCTCCTCCCCATCATATGAAATAAAAAAGTAAAAATTAGTGTATATTTATAAGCAGTAGTAGTTGCTATCTGTAGTGTACAGTTCTGCAGGTTTCGTCAAGTGCAAATCGTCACATAGCCTGCGCCGCAGTCAAGATGCGGAACAAATCCTCCCTCCTCCCAGTTCTCCAGCACCTCTTGGGAATCACCCGTTTCCCCTCCCCAGCTCCCAGGAACCCACTGAGCCATCTCCTCTTCCTGTGACTTTGCCTTCTCTGGGGTGTCCTGTGAGTGAGATCGCCCTGCCCATCACCTTCTGCTCTAGCTTCTTTCACTGGTGCTGGTGCGTCGGAGTCCTTCTTGTGGCCACACGGGGCGCATCATCTCTCTCCGGTGCTGAGCGGCGCGGGGGTCCTGCCTGACTCCGGGGAGACCTGATCTGAAAGCACAGGTGACACTGAACTCCACGATGTTTGTGTCTTACTATACATATACCCCAGTGACAGGGTTTAGTTTATAGTTAGGCACAATAGGGAATCGACAAAAATAACTCATACTGAAACAAAACACATGGAACAATATACTGGAGTCAAGGTCATGGGAATGTGGTTTCTCTTTCTCTTTTTTAAGATTTTATTTATTTGACAGGTAGAGTTACAGACAGTGAGGGAGAGAGACAGGGAGAAAGGTCTTCCTTCTGTTGCTTCACTCCCCAAATGGCCGCCACGGCCGGAGCTGCGCTGATCCGAAGCCAGAAGCCAGGAGCCAGGAGCTTCCTCTGGGTCTCCCATGAGAATGCAGGGCCCAAGCACTTGAGCCATCCTCCACAGCCCTTCTGGGCCACAGCAGAGAGCTGGCCTGGAAGAGGGGCAACCGGGACTAGAACCGGTGCCCATATGGGATGCCAGCGCCACAGGCGGAGGATTAACCTAGTGCACCAAGGCGCCGGCCCCATCTCTCTCTCCCTCTCTTCCAAAACTTGTCACTGTGCTGTGGTAACCGTCAGGTGATGCTGTGTGTTAACACAGTTCCGCAGGCAGCTGAGACCGAGGATTGTGGAACTGTGGGTAAGAGGGGCCGCTGAGTTCGTCCTGTGGAGGTACCGCAGTGCCTGTCCCTTCACCGGCTGAAGGGATTCTTGCATTTCCACTGTAAACACTAGTTTAGGTAAACAGCCTCAATCGTGTAGACAGCGCTGGTGTAGGCTGTTTCCAGCTCTTGACAATCGAGAATAAACCATTGTGAACATTCACAGGTTTTCGCACATGTGTCCAGGAGTGGGATTGCTTCTCCCCAGGGTGGGCTGTATGGCAAGCGCCTGGGTGACTGAGAAGCTACCATGTTTTCCCAGGGAGGACACTTCTTAGAGGAGGAGAAGTGCTGTGTTGGTGGAACCCTCGCGCCCACTGTCAGGATAATGCACAGATTTGGCCGTAATGGATCACCAGGGGCTGCCCTTGAGGGCACAGAGGCGCTTGACTTTTTCTTTCTTCTCCATCTGTGACCTTCCTGTGCCACAAGGTCCTGGAAGTGCCCACTTCCCAGGGGACGCAAGGACTGTCCCTGCAGGGGGAGGCTTGATGCCCAGCCTCTGACTCCCACAAAGGCCCCTGGAGCTCCCTGTGAGGGACACCAGCTGTGATGGCCGGAGCTTCTGATTCTCTTTGCTTTAAGGGAGGAGGAAAAGGGCTTTTGAGAAATCGAATTAGGGAAGGGGTGTAGTTCACCTACAGGCAGTGGATGGAAAAGATAGACAAGAGCAAGAAGCGGAGCCCCTGGCCTGGCGGGGGGAGGGGGGAGGCCAGGAGCTGGGTCCTGGTGCTCTGCCTGCCCTTCCCGAGCCCGGCCTGCAGACTCCCACCCTGGGGACAGCACCTGACTTGCTGAACTGTCTGTTGTGGTTGCCCAGCGCTTCTGTGGCCAAGGGAACTCAGCCCAGGATGCTGGAGGCGGGCCCAGAACACAGGGTGTACAGCGGGGAGGAGAAGCAGGGAGGCTGCCTTAGCCTGGTGGGGGAGGCCCAGTCCAGCTCCTGGATGGGACAGAATCCAGTTGGCCTGTGATGACCTCCTCCAAGCTGTGACAGTTTGTGACCGCTGCCTTCCCCCTTGTGACACCTGCTGAAGAGTGTCCCATAACCCAACAGTCAACTGTTCCAGAGGTAACTTCTAGAACAGGACGGGGCTATGATAAAATGAATTAGCTCATAAATGAGTAGCTTTCAGGTTCCTCTTATAGAACCCGTCAGGATCTTAGAGTCTTTCCACTGACGTCACTGGTCCCCAAAACCATCTCTCAGCAGGACTCCAGGAAAGGGCCCAGGGAACGGCTGGATTTGAAGGCCGTTGGATGAGCTGGAGCAGGTGCATGTGAAATCCCTGTGGGTGGGCCAGAGCCCCAGTTCTGCACGGACGCAGCCAGACCAGCCCCCTAACTCCCTTCTGCGTCTGTGCTTGGTCCTGTTGGTGTGAACCCCAAGGAGCAGGATGACCTCGTTGGTCCCCTGCCAGCATCCTTTTGCGCGTTTCATTTTCGTTCCTGACTAGGGTCAGTGATAAACCAGACACCCTTTCCATCCCCTCATATTCCACGGCATCTGCAGATGACAGGGTGGCACCAGGGGCCTAGTCTGGGGCCGTGAACAAGCGTTTCCTGCGTTAGCCCTACTTCATCCTCTTGGTAAAGTCTGAAGTACTTTCTCTCCGACTTCAGTGCGCACTCCCACCCACTCCCCCGGCTATGCCCTGAGCGTTCACTGCAGTCCCGTTCAAGGCCTTGGCCTGGAATGTTCTGCTTGTCCACGGGACTCATTTTCCTCCTTCATTCCCACGTCCCGGGGTGGGGGAGGGGCTGGGGTGTTCTAATGAGCATTACAGAACACTACCCCTGACAATCCACAATTCACTTTCATTTCTATAAAGATTATTTATCATTTTTTTTATGGAGTGAACATCTCCAGACACAAGTTTCCACTCGTGGCTCCTCATGGCAGCTCAATGGGAGCAGGGCCTTGGTTTGCTTCCTTCACTGCACTTACAGTGGCGCCTGGGTCACCAACACGTGTGCAGTGAGCTTAGTGAGGACGCTGGGTGGCAGGACTCTGGGTTTGGAAGAGCTTTACCTGAGGAGTAGGGACAGTGTCCCACTTCTGAGGTTTCACTTGGTTCAAACCTGAATCCTCTTTTTTTTTTTTTTTTTAATTTCAACCTATCCAGTTTAGGTCCAGAATATGTACTCTTTTTTTTTTTTTTTAGATTTATTATCTATTTTACTTGAAAGTGAGAGTTCACAGAGAGAGAAGCAGAGGCAGAGAGAAAGAAAGAGAGAGGTATTTCATCGATGGTTCACTCCCCAATTGGCTGTAACAGCCGGAGCTGTGCCAATCTGAAGCCAGGAGCCAGGAGCTTCTTCTGGGTCTCCCATGTGGGTGCAGGGGTCCAAGAGCTTGAGCCATCTTCTACTGCTTTCCCAGGCATAGCAGAGAGCTGGATTGGAAGAGGAGCAGCCTGGTCTCGAACCAGCACCCACATGGTATGCTGGCACTGCAGTCAGTGGCTTTACCTCCTATGCTGGCCCCAAACCTGAATCCTCTTATTCTACCACATTCTTTTTTTTATCCTCTCTCTAATAGTCCTTCCACTGGAAGAGATATGCACTCCATGGCTCTCTTCTCAAATTCTAGATGCTCCATTGCATCTCTTTTCATTTCTTTCTTTAAAAAAAAGATTTATTTATTTATTTGAAAGGCAGAATGAGAGAGAGAGAGAATGAGAGAATCTTCTTTCCACCGGTTCACTCCCCAAATGTCCACAACAGGCAGAGCTGGGGCTGATCTGAAGTCAGGGGCCAGGAGATTCTTCCAGGTTCCAAGCACTTGGGCCATCTTCCACTGCTTTCCCAAGCCATAGCAGAGAGCTGGATCAGAAGTGGTAAAGCCGGGACTTGAACCAGCATCCATCTGGGATGCCAGCTCCGCGGACGGTGACTGTATCCACTGCGCCACAGTGCCGGCCATGCCTCTTTGCATCTCATTTGTTCTGCCAATGGTCCAGCTGGGACTTGATGTTCCACGACTTGTGTAATTCCCCGTGGCTTGGCCCCCATCAACGATCCTGTCCCCTCTGTGGACCGCAGCGGTGAATCTGGATAGAGTTTGCTGAGTTGCATCACCTCTGGCACTTGTTTCCAGGCAGAATAGGGAAGGAGTGACCTCGGTGAGTGATGGTAGTGGCAAACCCTCTCACCTTCGGAATGTTCTATGCTTCTTGGCTGGGGGAGTTCTTCACAGTAGCAGGTCACGGAGCTCTTCTCAGGACTTTGTGCGGCACACAGAGGCCAGGCTCAGCCCCTGCCCTGTCTGGAAGGCAGACCCTGTAGGACCCACTGAGGTGCAGGGCAGGGGATGTCCACCCTAGTTCTGTGCTCCACGAGGTGTCTTCCTCGTGGGGAGTCAGAGCTCCCACTGCAGGGGGAAACGTAGGCCCGAGATGAGTTAAAAGGATGGGACTCCGAAGTCCAGAGACAAAGATTTTATATTTCATGCCATTGTTTATTTTTTTTTTTGCTTAAAGACTTCTTTATTTATTTGAAGGAGTTACAATGAAAGAGGAAGGGGGACAGGGAGAGGGGGAGGGAGAGAAGGAGGGAGGGAGAGGGAGAGGGAGAGGGAGAGGGAGAGGGAGAGGGAGAGGGAGAGGGAGAGGGAGAGAGAGTGAAAGTGAATGAATGAATCTTCCATTTGCTGATTCACTGCCTAACTAGCCTCAATGACCAGGGCTGTGCCTGGCCGAAGCCAGGAGCCAGTGGCTTCACCTAGGTCTCCCTCCTGGGTTCAGGGCCCCAAGGACTGGGCCATCCTGTGCTGCCCTCCCAGGAACATTAGCAGGGACCTGGATCAGAAGTGGAGAGTGTGGCAGACTATGGTTTACCCAGGTGCACCTCAGCACCAGCCCCGCCTACCATTGTTTAAACCATCCTTTTAGTTGACTGAAATTCTCAATTTCTCTCTCGCCTCTCTGCTTTCTTCCTTCCCTCTCTCCCCTCTTTGCTTTTTCTTTCTCTTTTGGGTACACTATATCTGTATCTATTTCCTTTAACTTACAGAACTAACTACACCATTGCAAGAGAAGCTGTGCTCAGTTTTGGGTACCATCATCCACAAAATCTTTCCAGGAAAGACAAGGAATAAAATGTAAGTGTTGTTCAATCTTAGGACCTTTGAGGAAGCTACAAAAAACTGACTTGCTAAGCCCGGAAAAGTAAAACAATTGATGCTTTCTTAAAAAAAAGAGATTCATTTTATTTTATTTATTTGAAAGACAGAGTTACAGAGCGAGGTAGAGACACAGAGAGTCTTCCATCTGCTGGTTCACTCCCTAAATGTCTGCAACAGCAGGAACTGAGCCAATCTGAAGCCAGGAGCCAGGAGCCAGGAGCTTCTTCCAGGTCTCCCACGAGGGTGCAGGGGCCCAAGGACTTGGGCCATTTTCCATTGCTTTCCCAGGCACATTAGCAGGGAGCTGGATTGGAAGTAGAACAGCCAAGACTTGAACTAGCACCCATATGGGATGCCAGTGCTACAGGCCAGGGCCTTAACCCACTGTGCCACAGTGCCAGTCCCAACAATTGACACTTTCTTGAGTGAATTAAAAGTTCAGTGTGTAGGAGAATAGCCTCTCCCAACACTTTTTAAAAAAGATTTATTTATTTGAAAGGCAGAGTTACAGAGAGGCTGAGGCAGTGAGAAAGAGGGAGAGAGGTTCTCCATCTGCTGTTCCACTTCCCAAATGGCCACAATGGCTGGTTGTACGAGGCCAAACCAGAAGCCAGGAGCTTCCTCTGGGTCTCCCATATGAGTGCAGGGGCCCAAGGATTTGGGCCATCTCCCACTGCATTCCCAGGCCATAGCAGAGAGCTGGATGGGAAGTGGAATAACTGTGCTCATTTGGGATGCCGGCACTGTAGACTGGGGCTTTAACCTACTACGCCGCTGCATTGGCCCCATCTCCCAACACTCTTACTCATGAAAGTGACTTGAGAAAAGTCTTGAAGGGACCAAAGACCTGTGTTTAAAACCAGGTGGCTAGGGACTGACGCTGTGGCTCAGCGGGTTAACACCCTGGCCTGAAGTGCCAGCATCCCATATGGGCGCCGGTTCAAGTCCTGGGTGCTCCACTTCCTATCCAGCTCTCTGCTATGGCCTAGGAGGGCAGTGGAAGATGGCCCAAGTCCTTGGGCCCCTGCACCCATGTGGGAGACCCAGAGGAAGCTCCTGGCTCCTGGCTTCAGACCAGCGCAGCTCCGGCCGTTGAGGAGTGAACCAGCGGATAGAAGACCTCTCTCTATCTGCATCTCCTCTCTCTGTGTAACTCTGACTTTCAAATAAATAAATAAGTCCTAAAAATTAAATCAGGTGGCTAGAGACACACGTATGCAGGATGACTCCAAGCTGATAGCTTTCTAGATTGTTCTAACTCCTATTACTCAGAAGCTCTGTGATCCTGGTTAGAAGTCAGAGGTGGGACTTTGGTTGCTGGATACTTTTGATTGTGGTTTGTGAGGCCCCAGGAGGAAAGAGATGGTGCATGAGAACCAGGCAGTTTGAAGAGTTTAAAACAGGCATAAAGTAATTTATTTTTGATTTTCTGTGGTTCTGAATGCTGAATCTGAGTAGCTGAGCGGATCTCGCTTGTGAGTTCTTAACGCGGTGCCACATCATCCGAGAGCTCAGATGGGATGGATATCCAAGTTGACTTCCTTATGTACCTGTCTGGAACCACAGCGCGTCCCTCTGTGCCGTCTCTCCAGCAGGGTCAACTTACAGACTCAAGCTCCTGAGAGCAGGAAGCAAGTTGGTGGGGGCCTCTGGCCCCAGTCTGTCACTGTCACTGCTCCACTGCCACAACTTTGGCCAGTGGAGACAGTCGCAGGGAATGCCCTGGTCCAACAGGGCAGAGGTGTAGACTGTCTCTCGAGAAAGACCTGGGTAGACCACGTTGCTGGAGAGCTTGTCATATGAGCATACTGTTGACCACCATGGGAGAATCCCACAGGGGCGTCAAGGAGCAAGGTGAGGAGGTGACCCAGAGGGGGTCACAATGTGGAGCCGTCTCCTGCACCTTCGTAAGGTGCAACCCAACACAAGGAAGCCACAGGATTAGTTACTCATCCCCTCCACTCAGCTCCCCTGCCAGTGACCCACAGTGGCCAAGGTCAGCCTTTCAGGTCAACCTTCAGGAGTGTCGGAGAGGGTGGGGGAGGGGAAGGAGGGCTCCATAGGCCGTCATGGGTAGCAGAGTGTCTGTGATGTTGCTCATCAGGGAAAACAAAGTTCAGGCCCACAATGGCTCCTTCAGGGACTGGAAGCAAAAATGTCAGTTTGGAGCAACTTCGTGAACTTGTGTGTTGAAAGACAGTTCACGCCTTGTTGCTTGAGAAGACTGCCACAGCTACTGATCACCTCCTACACAGGCACTATGCAGCCAGACGCTTCTTCTTTTTAAATATTTTATTTATTTATTTGAGAGGTAGTTACAGAGAGGAGAGAGAAAGAGAGAAGAGAGGGAGAGAGAGGTCTTTCATCTGCTGGTTCACTCCACAAATGGCCACAACAGCTGGAGCTGGAGCTGGGCGGATCTGAAGCCAGGAGCCAGGAGCCACTTCCAGGTCTCCCATGAGGGTGCAGGGGCCCAAGTGTGGGGCTCCATGGGATGGCCAGCCATGGAGCCCCCATGTCAAGGCCGGTCTGATAGCTGTTGCTGTGTCTTTATCACAAGGCGGATGTTGCTAGTTTCGGTTAGGGCGATGCTTTCCAATGGTCGGGACTTTCCAGAGGCACTGAGCCTGTCTCGTAAACAAGATGGCGCCGAGGACCAGCGGTGAGCCTGCCTGCTGCGTGACACCTCATCTGATTGGCCCAAGGACGCGTGCACACTGCGTGATCAAGCAGCTGATTGGAGTGTTCCGTGCATGGACTTGAGCTTGCTTGTAATTGGCTAGATTTTGTATATAGGCTGTGTGTTGAGGAAGGAGGGGGCTTTTTCTTCTCACTCTCCTCTCTTCCTCCTTTCTTTCTCTGTCACTGTTATTTTCTCAATAAAAGTCTACTGAAGACCGATAAGCTGCGAGCAGTGTCGTTCCTTTGCGGGCAAGGGAGTGACACCCAAGCACTTGGGCCGTCCTCCACTGCTTTCCAAGGCCACAGCAGAGAGCTGGCCTGGAAGAGGAGCAGCCGGGACTCAGACCGGCGCCCACATGGGATGGCGGCAGTGCAGGTGCACTTAACCCCCACCCTGCTTGACCTCTCCCCAGCCTCTTCTCTACCACTCGACTCTTTTTGTTGTTGTTGTTGTTGTTTTTTATTGAAAGAACTAATTTATTTGGTGATTCATAGATTTTTAAGGTATTTGCTGCATGTATATAAAAACAAAATATAAGTAAAATAAATTAAGATATTTCTGAAATTTCTTTCCAGAGTCCGACTCTTTCAATCATTTTTTGAACTGGAGTCATTAAGGTATATGTATTTTTATATAAAAAGATTTAAAATTTAAGTAGCTATGCAATCGAGGGATAGGATGATATGATACTTTTTATTATTTAATAAATGTGAATTTACAAAGTGCAACTTTTGTATTGTGGCTCCCCCCACCTCCCTCCCTCCCGTGGCCCTCCCCTCTCCCACACCTTTCCCATCCCGCCCTTCATTGAGTTTCATTTTCAATTACCTTCATATACAGAAGATCAACTTAGTATATACTAAGCAAGGATTTCAACAGGCTGCACTCACACAACCGCACAAGGTATAGAGTATTGTTCGACTAGTAGTGTTGTCTGTAAATTTCACAGTAAAACACATTAAGGACAGAGATCCTACGTGGGGAGCCTGTACCCAGTGACTCCCGTTGTTGATTTAACAATTGGCACTCTTATTCATGACGTCAGCAATCACCTGAGGCTCTTGCCATGAGCTGTCTAGGCTATGGAAGCCCCTTGAGTTCACCAACTCTGAACTTGTTTAGTCAAGGCCGTATCACAGTGGAGGTTCCTTCCTCCCTTTGGAGAAAGGCGCCTCCCTCCTTGATGGCCTGTTCCTTCCGCTGGGGTCTTGTTCACCAGGATCTTTCATTTAGATTGTTTTTGCCACCATGTCGTGGCTTTCCATGCCTGTGAGACTCTCACGGGCCTTTTAGCCCGATCCGAATGCCCCAAGGGTTGATTCTGAGGCCGGAGTGCTGTTTTGGACGTTTGTCATCCACTTGACTCTTCCCATGAGCACCTCACCACTTGCTCTGAAGCCCCACACCCATCAAGCTTCTGCACACTCTTCTCACAGTTTGGGATCCCCTCCCCTCCCCTCCCCTCCCCGCCCCTCCCCAAGTCCTCATCTTTCCAACTCAACTTAAATACCACTTCTGGGAAGTTTCTTTTTTTCTTTCTTTTTTTTTTTTTTAAGCTCTATTTATTTATTTGAGAGGCAGAGTTAGAGACACAGAGAGGGAGAAAGAGAGACAGAGAAAGGTCTTCCATCTGCTGGTTCACTCCCCAAATGGCCACAAGGGCTGGAGCTGGGTGGATCCGAAGCCTGGAGCCAGGAGCATCTGGCATCCAAACTATGCCACGGCTGGCCGGAGCTGAGCTGGATGATTCTGAAGGTCAGAATGGCAAGACCTCCCAAGAATCAAGTTGGATAAGTACAAGTGACACTCTTTCTTGAAGAATATTAAGAACTGGAGTGGGTGAAATTGGGGTTCCAGCCATTCACAAATGAAGGAACACCAAGTTCCAACTGAAGAAACAGGGTTGAGTTATTGGGCTCGGTGCACATGGTTGGGCAAAGCACAAAACAAACAGGATGGTGTTATTTGCCAAGCTGCGCGAGAGGGTGGCCAGCAGGCATCTATCAGCAAACAGAGGCAGATTCTCTTTCCTCTTTAACCTTTGGAATTCTCTTGTTGAGTGCATGGCCATACCTTTTAAAGCTCAACAGATCCTTCCAAAACCATACCCCCCTTTTTAAAAAGATTTATTTATTTATTTGAAAGGTGGAGTTATATAGAGGCAGAGGCAGACAGAGAGAGGTTTTCTGTCTGCTAGTTTACTCCCCAAATGGTCGCTTCGGGTCGGCGCAGCTCCAGCCGTTGCTACCAACTGGGGAATGAACCAGTGGATGGAAGACCTCTCCTTCTCTCTCTGTTTAACTCTGACTTTAAAATAAATCTTAGGCTGGTGCCGTGGCTCACTTGGCTAATCCTCCGCCTGCGGTGCTGGCACCCCGGGTTCTAGTCCTGGTTGGGGCGCCAGGTACTAGTCCCAGTTGCTCCTTTTCCAGTCCAGCTCTCTGCTGTGGCCCAGGTGAGCAGTGGAGGATGGCCCAGGTGCTTGGGTCCCTGCACCTGCATGGGAGACCAGGAGGAAGCACCCGGCTCCTGGCTTTGGATCGGCGCAGTGCTGGCCGTGGCAGCCATTAGGGGAATGAACCAATGAAAGGAGGACCTTTCTCTCTGTTTCTCTCTCACTGTCTATAACTCTACCTGTCAAATAAAAATTTTAAAAAATTAAATCTTAAAAAATTTACAAATAAAAATAATCTTTAAAAAACAAAAACAAAAAACCAAAAAGGTGGTTACTAAGGGCTAGGGAAAAATGGAAGGGAGGATTAGTGTTTAATGGGTATAGAATGTCAGTTTTACAAGATGAAGTTCTAGAGAACTATTGCACAATAATATGAGTATACTTTAACACTACTGAACTTATAAACTGTTAATATGGTAAAGTTGGGGCTGGTGCTGTGGCGTAGCAGATTAAGCCACCACTTGCAGTGCCAGCATCCCATATGGGCAGCCGTTCAGTTCCCAGCTGCTCCATTTCTGATCCAACTCCCTACTAGTGTGGCAAAGAGTGGAAGATGCTCCAAGTGCTTGGGCCCCTGCAGCCACATGGGAGACCCAGAAAAACCTCCTGGCTCCTGGTTTCTGTCTGGCCCAGCTCTGGCTATTGTGGCCATTTGGGGAGTGAACCAGCGGATGGAAGCTCTCTCTCTCTCTCTCTGTCTCTCTGTCTCTGTCTCTCCCTTTCTTTCTGTAACTCTGCCTTTCAAATAAACTAAATAATTAAAAAAAAAAAAAGATGGTAGGGGCTGGCACTGTGGCATAGAGGCTGA